TGTGAAGATGACTTTTAAAATACTTCTTATCCTTCCCCACTGTGGTTCTGTGGATCCAAGAACACAGAGTAACTTGGATGCTCAAAGTAGGAAAGGTTTGCATAATAGGTACTCAGTTCAGCATAACTAAGATAAAATTAGCCACAAAGATCTAGATTCTCTAGTTACTGGCACTACCAGGGTTTTATAACCATCATTACCCATGATCATTTCATACGAAACTACAATAATAGGTGTGGTGACACATCTGAGGTCTCCTCCTATATTAGTGTAGCGGGACGCATCAGATGTGTCACCAACAGAGAACAGGCATGGTCAGACCAAATTCATCGGCCACTTTCCCCCTCATTCTCTTTTGTTTTCTCTAATTCCCCAGATGTTTTAGTTTTTCTAATTATTACCCACAGAATTTTTTAATATTGCTTTTTTTGCTTTGTGTTTATTTCTACTTTTTACAATTTTTTTGTAAAAGTTGCATGTTAACCATTATTTAAAGAGTTCATTTAACAGCATGGAGGTTTGCTTCAAAGATTTGATAGAAATCTTTAAAAATGGGATTTTTTTTCTCATTTAAGTCTTACTTCAACAACTTCACTGATTTTAGATTTCTCTGACAAACATAGTTGAGGTATCAAAACCCAGACATGTTGTTAATAGCTTTTTCTTGAAGTCATTTAGAATGTAAGACTTTCTGCCCTGCTATTTCAAATTGCCCAACTTAGGAATAAGATGAGTCTATGTACATGTTTACAATCCCCACTTCCTTGCTCCCTATCTCCCCTTCCCAAGAAGAGAATTAAATTAAAGAAGTCTCTTTGCTTCAGGGGCGGTAGACAGCAAGGAAGTCGGGGACTGTAAACAGTCTATACGAGGAGAACTCACATTGTCCTCTGAAACTGATATACTTAAGCTCTCCTATTTTCTAGGACCCTATCAGAGATACTTCTATCTCAATGTTTGTAGTAAATTAATGAATTAATGATGATTTTCTTTGTTGCTTTGTTTAGGCAGAGCCTTTCAAAAAAGATTTTTCTGGGAGATAACTGTAGTACTTTTTCTTATTCTTTATAAGATAAACACACATACACACGCACACACACACAGAGAGAAAGAGAGAGAGACAGAGAGAGAGAGAGAAGCAACCTAGTGTGCAAGCAGTATACTTAAAAACCATTTTCATTTTCTCCTGTTATAGGAAACTGTAAGTCTGTAAGTCTTTCAGTTGAAAAAAATATCTGTTACATCATAGAATTTAAGAAACTGGGAGTGATCTGAGATATTATCCTGTCTAACCTTCATTTTATAGATGAAGCAAATGAAACCCTGAGAAGAGAAGTGTAGGGTCACAAATATTTTGCTGTTCTTTCTGTTTATAAATGTAGTATCACTACTCCCCTCTCCTGTGTCTGGGCAGGCTCTGTAACTGGTTTGACCAATAGAATACAAATGACAGCTTCTACTTCCTAGTTCTTGCTTGCATTTGGGACTTCTCATTTCAGAACCCAACCACTATGCTGTGAAAAGCTGAACTACATAAGGCCCTGTATTGCTGCAGCTGTCAACAACCACAGCTAAGCCCCCAGCTGACAGTTAACATGCACTTTCAGTCATGTGACTATGCCATGTAGCATGTCCAGGCTAGGCAAACCCTTGGCAGATTCCATCTCCAGCCAGTATCTGACACCAATCACATGAGAAACCTTAAGCAAAAATTGCCCGGCTTTTCCTGGTCAACACATAGGTTAGTAAGAGATAACAAATAGTTGCTTTAAGCCACTAAATTTCAGGATGGTTTGTTACATAGTAAAAGCTCACTGGAAATGAAAGTGACTTAGACCAAAGCTTCTAAGCAATACCAGAGTAAAAACCAGAACTCAAATATTACCCCAAACCTAATATAATCTCATCATAATGTGTTAAGGTAATATGTCAAGTTAAATGAGATCCAGTTTCAATCTCCCAATAGTTCATAATTCCAAAAGATTTTACTGTTTCAAAATTCACACGGAATGCATAATTTCCAAACTTCTTAAACTTTTTAAAACAAATTCTTAGAGCTATGTCTACATAACAGTAAACTACCATTTGGTACAAGGTAACATTCCTAAGTTTCCTTGAAAGTAGTGTCTTAGTAAGTGCCATGAAAGAAAAAGAGATAAGCTGATTTGGGGAAAGCTCTTGTTTAAATTAAATTAAAAAGATCTCTTTGCTTCAGGATTTTTCAAGAATGTAAATTTTCCAAGCAGAGCTATAGATAGTATTTATTTTCTTAAAATTATATGACCAAAGTACCCTTCTTCATCAAAAAATTAAACTGAGAAATAGGAAGAGGAATTCAATTTTGTCAGCATAAACCAAGTTTTGCTTTCAGAGGATTTCATAAAAAGAAGTTGTTTTCACAATTTGGTGTGTCTTCAGCTTAGAGAACACATTTTTAGATAACACTTTTATGACTGTCAGGGACTATGCTTAGTTATGTCTTTCACAATCTGTTCCCATTGCTTTCCTCCCTTACTTTTAACATTCTTTTGTGTGTAAAGCTAATAAATCTTTCTGGAATGTGTAGATGAAGGTATAAAAGTGGATACATAATAAATAATTTAATTAATTAAAAATTATCCTGTAATGTTTCATTAATAATGTCAATGACTATGAATAGGCTTAAAGGTTTTTGAGTCAACCCTTCATTTAGTTTAGTAACCTGGAAATTAGCTCCAACTCTAATTAGCTTGGTTTGGGTTTTGTATCTTTATTTACATCTAAGGCCAACTGAAATTGTAACACTTGCTGAACCTAACAGGGTTCTTGGGAAATTCAAAGGAAATTTCAGAGTTGGAGGTAGAACGGTTTTGGATTGCACAAATTGTAGTAATCAGGTATTCATCCGCCCCTTTCATTTTCTAGTTCTGGAGATTGAGATCCATAAAGAGAGTCTGTAGCCACATTGGAAACCTCCTTCCCCCGGATCCAAATTAAAGATGTTAAGAAAGCTCCCTTTTTCAGTAGATGTTATATTGAATGATGTGATTCTAATTCACATGCTGATTGTAAGAAGTTTTACAAGCATTTGGGCCACAAAAACTTATTTCTCCACAGAATTCACGGCTGGTATAGGAAAGTGAAGCAACCAAAACATTTAATAACCTGTACGGCATGGGCACCGACAACCAGAGTAGACACCAGCCATAAACAACGGGTGCAGCCATGCTGATGAGGATGAACCATACTGAATATCAGCTGAGCTCTATGGATCTAGTAAATCACATTTCTCTGTTCTTGCCGCTGGTTTGTGGCCTTGTGAATACTGTCATCTTATTCCTATTAGAATTTCTTCCATTCAGGCTGTCTCTTAAAATATACTTGTGGTACTGATATTCATAATACAGGTATGGATCAACTGACGACCTACGCAACTTACGACCATTCGACTTTACGACCACAATCGCTAGCCACGACTGCTCCGCGTCTGGCAGCGCAAACGTTGCCCAGCTGGGCATACGACAGCGCGGACCAGCTTCAGGCAGCACTACCATCTCCGCCTGCACCATTTCAACTGTTATCCCAGACTCGGTACAGCAATTTGTGTTTTGTGTCTTGGATATTTTTCATCAAACCCCTCCCAATAAACTTCTTATACATTTCGAAGCAATGGACCCAAACATCGAACGATTTGCAAGGATTGAACGGATGGCGCACGATGTGTTTCGTCCGTATTGGGAAATTTATGAAGAAAAAAAGAAACATACAATTCAGACAAAGCTCACCATGTTTATGAAAAAACCAACTCTGGTAACGCCAACTGCTGCCTCAGATGACGACATCAACCATCCGCAGCCAAGCACCAGCGGCCAATAAAATGTTTCGTACATGTTTATATATTTTGATATGTTTTGCAATTGGGAAAATGTTTCCTATGGTATGTTTTACACCTGTATTTTGTATTTTTGTATGCACCTGTATTTTGTAATTTTGTATGTTTTGCAAATATTAAACCAGTTGTACTGGTTAATGCAGTGTTTTACTTAAACCTGACAAATGTAAAAATAAGAAACAAAATGGTGTAGAGATGATACAAACGGCATAAAATGAACAAAGAAAATTATGATATATAACATTAATGAAAGAAAATTATAATAAAATATGACTTAAAGATTTTTATAACATCACTTCACAGTACTGTACATATAGCCTACTCAACTTACGACCAAATCGTATTATGACCGGTCTGTCGGAACGAATCGTGGTCGTAAGTCGAGCACTAGCTGTACAATAAATTCTGTTATCTCTCTCCTGGGAATCTATCAGCACTTCACAACTCCTTCAGTAATATGCTATCCTGCTCCAAAAATCATGGTGCATTCCCATGTCTCTAGTTTCCAAGCAGAGGGAATAATCATTTTATTGTCTCCTTTTGCCCCTATGGGGACATGAACCAATTCACTACCCCTATTTGCTTATTCATGGATCTCTCTATCCTGTATATCTTATATTCTTATTCAGTAGTCATGTCACATATTTAAATACGACTTGAAAGGCTGACAGAGTAACGCAGCTAAGAAAAGATGGTAGAGAAATAATAAAATGATATGAGATAGAGTATTTGATACTTTTAAGTCAGAATGGGAAGAAAATATTTGTAAGGATAAAACAAAATATCTGCATTTTGGAGTATACTTGTACTTCCCCAATAAAACTTTTGCTTGGTTTACAAAAAAAAAAAAAAATCTGCATTTAGCTTGGTTTACAAAAAAATAAATAAATAAATCTGTATTTAGCCAGTTCCTTTGTGAAGCTCTGATAAAATATGCATAAAAAAAGACAAGCCAATGGGGAGTAATCTATACATCTGGACATATACGCCTTAATAGTACCTTGGCCAGACCCTACTGTATTTGTAACATGGTGTCAAAAGTTTTTATTTGGGTGCAATTCAACCATAAATGGAGAATGGGAGCCTCATCCTCCTGGACTTCAGTGAGTTACAGTTTTAGCATGCTTACCTCTACAAGCCTGCTGGTGTGTTCATGAAATATCGCAGCATATTCTTTTATTTCCTTTTCCCGGCCATTCTTGGCAGCTTCAATGAGAACCAAAAGTGGGACTGTCGTATCCAAGAAAGAGTCTGACACATGATCTATAATAGCCTTGCGGAGCTGAGAAAAAATGAAAAATTTAGGGTTTTTTTTTTTCCCAAGAAATAGTTCATGGTATTTCCTTTTCTTACAATCTCAGCAGTTAGTTACACAACTCATTTTATTCAGTTTTTGTACAATCCCTAAAATCACAATCCTTAAGGGTATATAAGAATGTCCCTTAAGAAACTAAAAAACAAAATATCCACGTGAAAAAAAAAATCATCTAGCAGTAGTTCCTTTCAACTCAAAAGTAATTTTTCCTAAGTTGTATTTAACCAGAAGTCAGATTAAAAATGGTAATACTTTCTTTTCTGTTCGAAGAAATTGTGCTATTAGAATGTTTATGCATGTGTACAAATAACATTGTACATCTTGTATTTTCATAATTATAAATTATAAAATGTTGTCTACCTTGTTGGAGGAATTAATGATAAATTTTGATTAGCTAAATTGTAGACTTCATGGTAATTAAGCCAAGTTAGATCACCGATTATGCCAGTTGATAACAGATTAATAGAGCAAGAAGAATAATAAATGAGTTTGATGTCCAATTTTCCCCATTTGCATTAATTGTTCTTGCCCTCACACATTAAATTATTAAACAACTATAATATTCTGCTACAATTAGTTCTTTTAAATTAGATTACATGTAAGCTTATTAATGACAATTAGGTAATTACTCAGCAGATATTTTCTGAGATTTAAAACTGCATTGAAAAATTAATTCATTGTATTTATATAATATTGAATCTTTAAAGATCATAGTATCAGGCTGGGTGCAGTGGTTCATGCCTGTAATCCCAGCATTTTGGGAGGCCGAGGCAGACCAATCACAAGGTCAGGAGTTTAAGACAAATCTGGCCAACATGGTGAAACCCTGTCTCTACTAAAAATACAAAAATTAGCTGGGCATAATGGCAGGCACCTGTAATCCCAGCTACTTGGGAGGCTAATGCAGGAGAATTGCTTGAACATAGGAGGCTGAAGTTGCAGTGAGCCGAGATCATACCACTGCACTCCAGTCCGGGTGACTGAGATTCTGTCTCAAAACAAACAAACAAAAGATCATAATATCCTGAAATGTTTCATTAACAATGTCAATGATTGTGAACGGGTCCAAAGGTTTTTGAGTCAACCTCTGATTTAGTTTAATAAACTCTGTACAATAAAACAAAAAAGAGAAATAGCTATCAGATAGAAAAATGTAATTTTTGTGTGAAAATTATATTTTAGAGCATTTTTTAAACCAATAGACAGCCTAGTTTTAGATTACTTGAGAATGAATAGTAATACATTTTCAGAGAGCTGAATGATACAGTTACATGGAAAGTACTGTCCTCTGTAATGATCATAGAATAATAAATCCATTAAATAATTACAGGTTTCTGGAAGAAAAATACCTCTGCCCAAAATACTGAGCTTGCTCAGAAGCACTGTGAAATCTTCTGACTATCAACAATTTAAGAAAGGCTTCAGGAAGATCCACAAGAAAGGATTCTGCTTAGTATACAGAAAGACAAATTACTAGTGGCAATTAATTAACATTTGTTGAGCACTTATTAGGACAGAGCATAGAGTGCTAAGGGGTTACAAGGCAAAGGGAAGATCTTAAGTGAATGAATAACGTGTTTGCTGTCTACAGGAAGTAGACCAGGGAAGTCAGGCAAGAGGTCACAAGTTTTTTTGAGGTGGGAACTACAGTCTGGGTAAGTTCGAGGTGGGAACTACAGGTTGGGTCACAAGTTTTTTTGAGGTGGGAACTGCAGGAAGAGAAAAATAGAGATTCCTTCTAATTTCTCAGAGTGGGGGCATTTTTTAATGATTACCCTCTCCTTGATTCTTTTCTTCTCTCATTCATAACTGGGACATGTAGAAGGAAAGCTCAGATGAAATCTACACTACAGATATGCCGTGAAGAGCCAGCCTATGGGAACTAAGTCAAGTGAAGAGTGTGGATGAGACCATATAGAGTGAGGAGACCCATGAAGGACTTCTTAGGAAACACTACCATTTACAGGAGTCATGCAGATTAAAGAGGAGGGCCTAAAAAGAGACTGAGATAATAGCCAAGAAACAGAGACAAATGATCAACAACTAAAAGACAACCTTTGAAATATGTCTCTGTAGTTATCCTATCAAACACAACTATAACATTCACATCATGGATTTAAATCCTCTCTTCTGTGTAAATTATTTGTTTGATTCAGTAAATGTTCCTGGAAACTATTTCCTCACGTTTCTACCAAGAGAAAGGTATTGAAGGAAATGTCAAGATGGAAATTCATGGTTCCTTATAATCTAGTAGAAGAGTGAATATTACAATAATGCATTAAGTATCATTATATATATCATATTAGTACATTAAACATGACAATAATGAAAAACCCAGAGACTGACGGCAAACAAGTTTAGAGTCAAATTTTAAAGATAAGTTAAATTTAAAAGAAAAAAAAAAGGAAAGAGACTTGCCCATTGGGCTTGACTACTAAGAGGCTATTGATAAACTTGGTAAGAGCAGTTTCGGTGGAAAAGTTGGGGCAGGAGTCCCATCGCTATGGTTTGAAGGGTGAGTGAGAGATAAGGCAGTAAAGACAGTGAGTATAAACTCCTTTTTAAAATAATATGATTGTGACATGAAGAAGCAAAACTTGGTATTTGCTACTCTGAGATACATGTTTAAAGAGTGACTGTTTTTCATGTAAAAGACTTCGCCATAATTTCCCATCTGCAATTATATCCAAAAAGTCTTATTACTCCCCTTTGCTTTTCTGGAAATACATATTGATTTATTGCCCAAGCAAGAATGAGAGGTGAAAAGCAACTATTGTTTCACATTGTGCCAACCTTTGTAATCTTTTTGTCTCACGACAGAGGGAAATACCCAGAAATCAGTGACTTGTGTTGGACATGAATGAAACCTTTAGGAGCTAGCACATGGTCAGAAGCAGGGAGGTATGTCTCCACTAAAATCATCTTAACCCATGCAAAAACAAAGCATAACTAATTGAGCCAACCACAATATTCTCACCAGTCCCTGTCTAACTTTCTGGTTCATGATCCCTTACCTTCGCTATTATAAACTACATTACAGACGTTTGGTGCCTTATATCTCATCCCCTGGATCTATCTCTGATTTCAGCTTTTGCTGGGGGCAACAGTTCCACGTCCTCTGAAGACAATCCATGCTCCTTGTGTGCATTCCTTGTGTCTCTTTTTTATGCTGTCTCAGGACCCGCTCCAAGTTTACGTGGAATTCTCAACCCAGCATAAACACTACCTGAAAGTTCTTCAGAGTCCATACCACTGAGGGAAACCTTCAACCTTATGGGGATAGGCGCTACCACATAAAATTCCTAGCCTCCATCCATTAGCCAGACAATTCTGGGAAACATTCTGTTAGTTCTCAGAGCTCCTCAAGTTCTTATTGCCTACAGCAGCATATCATTTCCTCTTTCCCTGCCTTGCTTTTCAGGTTCTATTACACTTGCTTCCAGGAATCACCTCCTAAATAAACGACCTGCACTAAGGCCCTAGTTTTAGGCACTGCTTTCAGGAAAACCCATATAAAACAGGTACCTTTTTCTGGTGTTAATATTGTTGGATTATGCGCCAAGTAGGAGACTCCATTGTCTTACATAAACTACTCATTGCTGATCATACCGTACTACCTCTGCTCTGTATATCACTGGGGTTTGTTCTGCCATGCCCTAAATTATACTCACTGTAAAAGGGGAATTATTATGAAATAGGACTAGAAATCTAGATAGGGACAAGATGTAAAAGGTCTAGAATGTTACACTAAGCAATTTTCTTTATATGTTCTTACATATTCATATGGGATTGTTTTCATTAAATTGTACAGTCATATATACCTAAATATAATACCAAAGTAGCCTCTATCTTATTTATTTCCATATTGTTTTCCTGCTCAGTGGCACAATGCATTCCTTTCAGTTGGGTGACATACAAAAAGTTTAAAGAAGAACCCAATACGCCAATGTAGAAATAGAAGCCACAGCACTAAAATCTGAAGCTAGTGGGAGCCCAATAGGAATTACAGGTACACACTTTCAATAAATACCTGTTTGTGGCCAGGCATGAAAGATGTTAGAACAAAACCAAACTGAGGTGCTTTTCATCTTTTCTCACTACAGTTTAATAAAAGGCTTCGAGACATCAATTTTTCTATTTCCTACTGATGTAAGTGGTTTGGGATCTCAAAATAATATATATCTCTACAATTGAAACCCAAAAGTGAAAGCCCTGTGTGAAATGTCTAAAAAAGCCCCACCATTCCCACCAAATACAGGAACAGAAAGAATGAAATTATGAGGGAAGGGGAATAGAAAGAGGAAAAAGTATTTCAGAAAGAAATTATCCTCAGGGAAATAGAAAAACACATTTAAAGTATTTTAAATTAAAATATTTATTAAAATGTTAAATACTGTTAATATATTAACAGTATTTAAAATACATTAACAGTATTTAAATACATTAACAGTATTTAACATTTTAATAAATATTTTAAATTAAAAGCCATTTTAATTTAAATCAAATAGCAAAATGTGATTTCCAAAGCTTGTCTAACAGGAATTAAATCAACTAATAATTATTTCACTGTGTATGTCCTATGTCAATTTAGTGAAACTTGCCTTTTGTGGATACACAATATTATTTGATGATGAGGATGATGACCAGGAGGTATTAAGCCTCCATATTTTTTTCTGAGTGGTGAGCTAGTATTATGCAACATGGAGGAGAGATGGAACTAACAATTCAGAAACTCGGCAACTAAAGAAGTAATCAAGTTTTTGTTTTGTCTGTTTTCATCAAAATCCCATTTTATTTGACACAGTTCATCTTTACTTTGGCATTTATGAAATAAAAAACATTTTTTAATATACACAAATAAAAAGTTTAACCTGCCTTTAGTAAAATGACATATATTTTTACTATCCATAATACAATAGAAATAAAATATATTTGTTGCTTAATTTTTTAAAATAAAGTAAAGGATGTTTAAAAAGTCTTCCTCCTCTTATTGAGAGAGTTGCAATAGGTATGCAGTTTTCAAATGAATGATGGAAAAGGAGGCTAAAGAAAGAAGAAAATTTAATTTTCAAAAAGGATTTAAAACAAATGATAAGAAAGAAAAGAATTTGTGATGATAAAATCAGTGATTTAGGCACTGGCGAGTTCTGAAAGTGAGTAGGCCACAATCCCCAGCCCCTGGTATGGTGATTACACATATGGGCTGGGGTTGGATGAACCTGTGCTAGAACTATGTCTCTATCACTTACCTGGGTGATGTCTGCTGGTAACTCATTTTGGGTGACAGAGATAACAATATCATGGTATTATTTACTGTTTTAGGGGAAAAAAAGTAAATAATGCAATAAATATGCTTGCTAGAGAGCTTTGGAAAGCATTCAGTAAATGAGAGATGTCATCACTATCATTATAAGGACTTAAAATGCAGTGGGAAGAAAACTCATTGCAAAAGAACAAAATACAAGAAGAATATAATGATTGCTATAATACAAGTGCACAAGCTATCAGTGTTCCAGGAAGAAAAAAGATCCATTCCAGCTTGTGAAAACAGCAAAGGTTTCATGGAAGCAATAACATTTACACTCCTCTGAAATTAGTTGCTTAAGTGTTGGGGGTGTGTGTAAGGGGACTGAGTGGAGAAGCCATCAAGCTGTAGAAGTCATATGTGCAAAGATGCAAGTGTGTTTGAGCAGGAGGTGATGCAAATTCTGGTAAATAACAAATAGACTCTTGTCAGAAAATGGGGTAATGTGTTGGTGTGATGAGGAGGAGACAACACTGAGAAGGAAAGCTGAAGGAAGAGGAACATTACGAATAATGGAGATTAAGTCAGGGCCAAATCACAGAGAACCTAGAACACCATGTAAGAACATTTGTCTTTGTTCTCTAGTAAAACAGGCAAAAAATCACAGAGGAAGAAGGTTGAAAGAAATAAATACTCGCCTCCTAGAATATTCCATCTTGATTATCCTCAAATCTATAATTTGCTGCTTCTTCTCAGATATTTCTAAGCAATCTCTGTCATTCCTCATGGAAGAAGTCCAATCATCCTCTGAACCAAAGCTAACATGTTACTGAGTTACTGATAGAAAAGCCACAGTTAAGAAAGGGGATAGGATGAATGGGCAGGAAAACGGGCTCTGCTTATTTTTTACTAATTTTTTTTTAAAAGATAAAACCAGTTCTAAAGCAAATGATGAACATTAAATACTCCAAAGAAAAACACTTTAAGGGCAATGCTTTCTCTTTATTGTGAGAAGAACTATATGTGAGATGCTTAAAACAACTGTTGGATAAACTTCGCAAGAATAAGAAGTGGAGATAATTTATGTGGCTGTTTTAATTAACTGTGATTTCTACCAAAAGTGTAAACATCAGGATGAAAAATAAAGCACTTGGGGGAGGATAAGTGAGGATAATGTAAAAGAATCATAGCAACTAACTTCGTCAAAATGGAAGATCATGGAGGAGTTCAAAGATAGCTTCTAACAATTCCATCCATTCCTGTATACAAATACCTCTCCTACAAGAGACAGAGCTTCTCCCTGCTCCTATTGAACTAGGACAGGGTTTTTGACTGTCTTGACTTATAGAATATGAAGGAAATAGCTTTCTCTGACTTTGGACCTAAGACACTAAGAATGCCTGTTAGCTTCCATCTCCGTTTTCTTGGCAACTTGAAACACCATGTAAGAAATCTAGGCTGGGCACGGTGGCTCTCTCCTGTAATCCCAGCACTTTGAGAGGCCAAGGTGGGTGGATCATAAGGTCAGGAGGTTAAGACCATCCTGACCAACATGGTGAAATCCCATCTCTACTAAAAATACCAAAAATTAACTGGGTGTGGTGGTGTGTGCCTGTAGTCCCCACTACTTGGGAGGCTGGGGCAAGGGAATCATTTGAACTCAGGAGCCAGAGGCTGCAGTGAGCCGAGATCACATTACTGCACTCCAGCCTGGTGACAGAGTGGGACTCCATCTTTAAAAAAAAAAAGAAAAAGAAAAGAAAAAAAAGAAATTTAGGCTACCCTGCAAGAGATTGAAGGGTCTCTTTAGGGAGGGTCCCTAAAACATTAGGCACTATATGGAAAGAGGGAACAGGAAGAAGCATTGAGGTTCCAAAAATCAAGTCCCAAATCTAGCCACAGTTGCCATTTGACTGCCACTATGTGAAAAACCACAAGTGAAAACAGTACAGAATATGGCCCTGCGGATACTCAGCCAACCCAAGGCATCGTGAGATACAAATATGGTTGCTGTTGTTTGTGGTGGTTTGTTAAACACTGGTAGAAACAATGGAGATGTTAACCTGTGAAACCATACGGAATGTTAATACCTTCAGAGCACAGCAGTTTTCTAACGATGGAAGTATCTCCGTACTATGAAGAACAGTATCAGTAATCCCCAATGCTATTTCTATGTCTCACTGATGGTAGTGAGGTGGAAACACAAGTAGGATTGCAAGATAAAATACAAGATGCTCAGTTACATTTGAATTTCAGATGAACAGCTTTTTAAATATAAGTATGTACCATACAATATTTGGGACATAATTATACGAAACCATGTTTGTTGTTCATCTGAAATTCAAATTTAACTGGGTGCCTTGTGCTTTTATTTGCCAAATCTGGTAATTCCACACACAAGTAATTGCATTTTCTTGACTTTATTTAGAAAAATAATAATTCTAAAACCCTTGGAGGTATAAATGTAGATTAGCTCTTTATGTATAATGTTGTTGAAGACACTACAGAGGGAAAAGACATGAACGAGAAACACAATCGTTGATAGCTCATAGAAACAACTTTTCTGAGTCCTACGTGAAGCAGATGGGGTAGAAATCCCGAAGAAGACGGAGAATAGAGATCATTCCACAAAGCAGAAGGATGGCTCTGAGGATATAAACTTCTGTGTCCTGATACAGGTCCTGACTCAGTGCCCCATCCTCACAGGCAGGACACCTCACCACACTGGCCTGCTTTCTCATTTGCATCATAAGACAGGTTGTGCTAAGTTCATTCTGACTCTTACATTCCATGATTATAAGTGTTAATGATAGAAACAGAATTCACATTAAAGCCATAAAGTTGAGAAACTGAGATTTTCATAGATGTGAAAATTATGTTTTTATGCAGCCATGATTAACTGGTTGGAGATCCCTATTTATTTCATTTCCAAGTCTCCTTCTGGATTAAAAGATTGTTCAGCCATTTTACTTAATCTGGCCATTAAAATACAATAATATATTGCATTATATAGTTGTATAGCTTTTTGCCCCTTTTGATGAGTTAATGATGACCAAGTTAAAGTTGTGCATGAGAAAGAACCCTAGTTATTAAACAGAGGAAAGGAATGAAGAGCAAATGTCTTTGAAAATAGCTAAGTCTTCCTATTACTGGAGAAATGTTTAACCTGTGGCATAATACTAGACTTCTAAATTGTTTAATGAAGTTCTTTCTAATCCCGTGTTCCTGATGACCTAAGGTTAAAAAAAAAAGCCTTAACTTATACAAAAACTAATTTTTGAAGTATCCTGAAAAAAAAAAATGGAAGGAGGGTTTGATAGGCTCTCTGAATTACTTACTAGTTAAGCATTTGGATATAAGCATTTAGATGATAAATTCTCATGTAATAGAATCAATTTATCAACGTTCCCTAAAAACATGCTATGGATCAGGAACTTATATGAATTTTAGTGATTCCTTACAACCCTATTGCAAATTGTTAATTTCATCTTATAGGTTCAAGGAAGCTCAGAGAGATGAAATTTGTACCCAAGATCTCATAACCAATGAGGACAGAACCAGGATTTGAATGTAATTTTGTCTGATAAGGCACACATTCTTCCTTCTACTTTATGTTGGCCACAAAAACATCTGAGGTATGAATATATAATGGAAAGTAGATATTTACTGTTCTCTTTCTCATTCTAAATTAATTTGAAAGACAAAACAAGAAGTAAATATGCCTGCAATGAGTAACAGTTTCATTTGGCAAGTATGTTTCTGTCTCCATATCTCCCTCTTCCCTCACCTGTCTGCGAAGGTCCCTTGTCTTCTTACACATGTTGTCTAAAGCAGCATTCAGGGTATTACTCCTTTCTTTTTTTCCAGTCTGCAAAGAAGAAAAAAATGACATAAGCAATGGTATCAATTAATCTTTATCACTTAGAAATTTGCTTTCTGAATTTCCTGAAAATAACAGCTTGAAATTCAAGAATAGGTTTCAAAACTGCTGTATTATATATGATTCATGAGCATTTCACTTAAGACTAAGTAGGATGGTGATTAAAGCTCACATTATTTTCATCTTTAAGCTTCTGTAATATTTCCGATACAGAGTTACGTTGTATTCGGTGTGACAGTAGGCAAAACATTATCTTCATGAAACTCTGATCTTCGTTTTTTACAAGTCAAATCTTAAATCACTAAGCGTGCAATTAGCTTAAAAGCATTAGATGCCCAATTTGTCAACTTCTGTGGGAGTTTTTGAAGTCATTTCTACGGTGTATTGTGTAAGTTATGCAGAACCATATTGGAGTTTTGCTAAACACTAAATAAAATATGCAGTGCAAATTCACACAATTTGCCAAAGTTGACCACAATTTTAGCTGACAATATTCCAAGAACAAATTGTTTTAAGTAAGAACTGGACGCTGTTTTTGGCTCTTTCAGATAATTTGTACAACACCTTTTTATTCTTTAAGCAGAACAGATCTCTGTTATATCCTTAACCTAAATCTTTAGGCTATTAAGCACATAGAGAGTCACCTTGGTTGGTATTTTCTACATATTATTTTTGTGGGAGACAACTGGATTAAATCTAATCATACTTTTTTCAGTGATATCTCATATAAAAGAGATTGGAAAAAATCATTATGTGATTCACCTCTAAGAAAATTGCTGCTATTTAAATTAATAAACTGAAAAGGGCTCTTGAGAGGAGACCTTGAAAATCAGGAAGGCAAGTTTAAGCAGCTGATAACTGAAGGAGCTTACATTGCGAACTCAATGAAAAAGGACACTGAGGCCAAGTATAAACCACGAAGCAGCATGTTTGACCCTTTCCTCAATGACTAAACTCACACATAAACCCATACTCTCCAGTGGACTCCTTAACAAGAATTAAAACACTGTCTATACTCTGTCTTAACCTACTTTTTAGTCTTATGAACTGCCATAGCTTCTCAAGTACTCTCCTTTACAGTAGCAATATTCCTATGCTTTTCTGTCTGTTCTCCTCTGTTCTTACACGTAATGTACCTTTGACTTCAGGGAGCATCTTCTAAAACAACACCTACTGAAGTCCTATCAATTCTTCACCGGTTTCCAGATAGAGTTCTTCCAACAACCTTGTTCAAAAGTAAGCTCTCACCTTTCCTTTTTCCAATAGCATTTTGAGCATTTTTCAATATACTCATTTTATTTATGTGCATGTACGTCACTCTTAACGATACTGTTAGAATCTTGATATTAGCAAATATATCTTAAATTTTGTCTATTCCTGATAGTAACTTACATAGAACTTATTGAAGAGTTGAATACTTGATAAATATAAATGAACAACTTAATTCAAAACACAATTAGAGGCCTACCATTTTCCACAAAGATGTCATTCTAGAGACTGAAGGAGATTTTAGCATTTAGCTCTCAAAGCAGAGCTAAAGTTCTCTATGAGGTGAGGTTGCTGGTATATGCCTCAACCTCAGGTCAACCTATATTTTTCCAGCAGCAGTGTTACTGATATTTAAGGTGTGAAAAATAACCATCACTGGAGATCACTGCAAGGTATTTGGCATGCATAAACCCAGGTGTGCTAAATTCCAATACCAAATCGGATGCACTGTAACAGCCATAAATTGGCACCATATATGTCCAGCTACCTCCTATAGGGAGACAGAGTAGAAGGCCACTAAGTCTTTACCATGTTTTAGTTTCGTATAAAGAGAGTGTGGAATGTGTACATGTTGGAAACGGTGTCTAGTGAAGAGAGAAGAAAAAGGAAACAGGAGAGATTTGGTTAGGTTATTTCTATGAGCACTAATAATATTCTGAATATCGGAGCAATGGCAGCAATTACACAGATCAAAGTTGTGGCTACCTTCACAGCTCCTATCCAGCATTCTCTGTGCTGGCAGTGAAGAATTATGAAGGGTTAACTCATGACTATACAGGACAATAGCATAAACAGATACACAATGAGCTATGAGACAGTTTCTAATTTTACCCAAAGAACCCAGCCCTTATTCTCTAGTTTTATGCAGTGCTTGCTCTTGGTCGTATCGCTTTCCACTTCATGAAAGCAGAGACAATAAAAAAGGGGCAGAAGTGGGACAAAGAGACCTCCTACACATGCACACACACAATCAGGTATAATATCAGAGACTCCTGTTGTGTTGGCTGTAAAAACCCACTAGCTTCTGTGGGTGTGATTCATCAGAAGAACTAAAAGATGTCAGCCTTCTCACAGCTAGCAGCAGAAGCATACCAAACTTTAAATAAAGGATGACAGGAGGTGACAGCACACAGAGATTCAATAAGGACTATAAAAATTATTCCCTAATTTCTGTCCAGAGCTTAACCCTAGTTTAAAATGTTTCACTGGATCAAAGACATTTCGTTCTCTAGGTAATAATAACAGTCCCTATCATGACACGAAGTTTAAAGGTCTCCCTTCTTGCGTTTTGCTCACCTGATGCATTATCCCCAACCACAATCACCTTTCTTCTTTTTCACCTCCAGCTTTTTATTGGATCCTTGCTCGATTTATCTAGATTTATTTGGCTTCAGTCAAGCCACTTTATGCCTCTTTATTCCCTTTGCATAGCATAAAAATAAATAAGGCAAGGAGAAATAGCCCCATCCAGCTTAAAGACTCTCATTCCTTATTTTTTCAAAGCCTTAACAAATCATCAAGCAATGAGCTAGGACTAAAGGTGAATTCTGTGTTGTGAGGCAAGAGATGGAAAGGGCAGGATATTAAAACACAACTGCGAATAACACTCAGAACCTGCCTATATCCCAAGAGCTCAGAAAAGAGACTGCTCCTTAAAGGGATTCTTGAAAGGAGCCATCATTAAGTCAGCAAATCCCTGCTAATGGAAAAAGCACCACTTACAGTGGAGTGTCAGGCAGAGAGACCTGAGAACACATGGCAAAGGTCAGCACTGTATAGAGAAAGCAGTCACATTCTTCTGTAAACAAACTGCAAAGAAAGACTTTATAGAAAAAAAAAAAAAAATTCTGGGTTGGGCATGGTGGCTCACACCTATAATCCCAGAACTTTGGGAGGCACAGGTGGGTGGATCACCTGAGGTCAGGAGTTCAAGGCCAGCCTGACCAACATGTGAAACC